ATTGAGTCCCTTATACAGAATTTTATTGTTATTAACAACCATATGATTAATAAATATGAGAGATGCCCTCTCAAAAAGAAAAGTCAGATAAGTGGGCGACCAGGTTCAGTGCCTACACCTACATGTCTGCTAAATGTTAGGATAAGAACAGCGCCATACTTTGCCTTAAAAATGGGATAAGTACTGAATTAAAACAATAACTAAATGAGACTCAGGCTGGGAAATTAGGAGAAGAAAGAGATCCACTCTCCGCTGGACCTCCCTCACCCACATTGGAATGTCTGATGAAGGGAGTTCAGAAACAAGCATGAAGGAACAGGGATTAAAAGGTCAAGCAGGCCCTAAAGGCACTAACTAGAGGGGCAGTTTACCGCAAAATATTGACCACTCAATTTTTCTGTATGAGATTAAGCAGTATGACTATGGGGTTTGCCTTCAGTCCCTTGAGTGTCCTCAGCTCCCACTGCACAAAGTTGGTAGAGAGCTGTGCTAAAGGAGTGTGCCATGGAGGATTGGGGCAGTGGGGATGGGGGTGGGGGGGGGAGGGGGGAGACATGTGCCCCTCCTGCTCCTTTATAATTTTAACCAGCCCTTGAAAAAGGTGCCCATCACCTCCAATTATGCAAACCCCCTGGTACATCTATGCCTTCCAAGCTGCAAATGTTAAAATAGAATCCATGGCTAACAACTCTTTTAACTTTCCTTGCTGGGCCAGCAGTTCTGTTACTCATTGAACTATTAGTGAAACCCTGCATCTTTAACTGGCTCATTAACTTTATTAGGGAACGTATTTCCTCTGTACAGCTCATGTATATGCAGAGCCGTTATAATCCTATCATAAACCAAGGAGATGATGCCCCCTAAAATGAAGTGTTTAAAGGGGCATCAGAAGGGGGAATTATAGAGAAAACTTACAAGGACAGAAGTCTAGTCCAGGTGGCTCCCTTCTGCTGCTCTTCTTAGCAAAGACAACAGAAACTTCCTTAACGTCCCCATCGCCTTCACTCCCCACTCTGCCACTTACTCCCTAAACGCCCTCCCCCTTCCCTGCTTGCTTTCGCTTGCTGTGCACGTAGGAATGTTACAGATAAGGAAGCAGAAAGATGTATGTTGCTCCCTTTGCCTTTTCTTGGGGCTCAGACTTTCAGGAGATTCCTCCCCTCTGAGCCCTCATGTGTGAAATAAGGCCTCAACACTCTAAGACCTCTGAGTGATGCTTGTTTTTTCTGTCAGTGATCCAGTCCAGGCTTTTCAGTATTTTCCTTAACAGTGGAGTTCAGAAAAAAACAGCACTTGTCAAGTTTTACATGCACATGAGTCAGCTGGGGATCTCAATCGAGGGGGGTCTCAGAATCTGCATTTTGGGCAATTCTGGGTGATGCAGGTGCTGTAGGTCCAGGGACTACACCTGGGCCACCAGGAGTTACCCCCATTTTTCAGGGGAGGCGTACTTGAGTACAGACACCTTGTCTCAGCTCACGCAGCCCTTGAGGGTTTGCTGGAGTGGGCACTGGGATCTGATGGCAGAGGAAAAGCTGGGCTCTGCAGAACTAACTGGTCGGGAGGGGCTGGGGCACCAGAAATAAGATGTGGGCCTTGTTCCTAAGGCCCTGGATGGATGCTGAGGAGATTTAAACCGAGCAGTAGCAGTGTGAGATGGGTTCTAGGAAAATCTCCAATGGCTGTTGGAAGGCAGGTCTGGAAGGAAAGACGGTAGAGTTAAATAGGACCACAGGGGTGTGGGGTTGATACAGGGACCATGGGCTTAGACAGAGTAGGGCGAGAGCCTCTGGAAAAAGCAAGGTGATATATTTACAGTCAAAACAATGTAACAATGTAAAGTCCCTATGAAATCGTGTTCCGCATTATGCAAAGTCAAGGTCACACTAATTCTCTAAGGAAAAGATACCAGACTAAGAATATAGACATATTGAGTGAGATCAGTTAAAGGCCAAAGGGCCAGAAGCAACTTGGCCTGGAATGTTTGAGTGTTCTGCAAGGGTATCTCAGCAAGACCCGTGACATCGCTGTAAACAGCCCTACCAAACAGACAACAATCCAGTCCACCTTGAGGGCAGGGCAAGTGGTACAAGTCCACACCTTAAGCCCTCAATTCCCAAAAATCCTCAATTGCCTATAAATTCCCTAGACAATGCACCACCCCAGGCTATCTTGTCCCCTCCTGGCAAGAGCCAGGAGCTCTTTCCTCTCATTTTATTTCTAAATAAAAGCCTGTACCTTGCTTTCCTACCTTGAGTGTTTGTGAAGGTCATTGTTTAGCTCTGCAAACAAGAACCCTGGCATCAGGGGGTTAGATCAGGGAAGCCTAATTTGAGTCAAAGCAGTGGAGATCAAGGAAATGGAACAAACTAGGAAGGTGTAACAGAGGGGCAGCCTTAGAGAATGAGGTATGGCACAGGGGGCAAGCAGTGGGGTTTCAGACAGGAGTTCTGTTGGGCTATTGGTTGGTGATAATCCCATTATTTTCCCAGATGTGGTCCCACACCACCTTGTATCTGGTCATGTCTGTGAGAGCTAGTCTCTGCCAGCCCAACATCCTGCTCCCTGAGCTACTTCTGTCTCTCTCTCTCTCCACACACAGTTCCTACATTCCTGACCTCCTGCCTTCTCCAAAGCCCACATGCTGGCCTTTTCTATTCCTTCTGCCTGACATGCTTTCCCTCCACTAGTTATAAGATCACTGCTTGTCCTACAAGACCCTGTGATAACCCCTTGACTCACTTAGGAAGTTACTGTTCCTCCCTGTCACTTCCCTCTCTGAGCAGCTGAGCCCACTTTTGACATTGATTTTTTCTCACAGCTGCACTGTTCTGAGCCTATGAGCTCCACCCATCCAGCCATCCATCCTTTTATCCATTCAACACATATTTATTGAGAAACTTCCTGTGTTCTAGGTACAAAGGACACAACAACCAATGGACAAATAGACATCTGTACTGCACAGGGAGATGGAATCCAAATCAGCAAATAAATACAAGCAAGGTCATTGCAGATATCAGTAACTAAGGAAGGGGGAGGATACATGGGACACTTAACACAGGGTATCGGGGAAGACACCTGAAGATGTGATATTGTTGGATTCTCCCAGAGGAGGACGCCGCCCCAAATCACTCACGAAAGACGTCTCTTGATGCAACAAGCAAGAGGAATTTATTCAGGAACCAGCTAGCAGGGGTTCAAGTTAGCCCGTCGCAGCGGGTCTCAACAAGGACCCCGAATAGTCTAAGCCAGAGGTTTTTATAGCATAGCATTTTCAAAAAGACAGTATTTTCTTACACAGTGTTTTAGCAAGATAAGCTTGGTATGCATGACTATCCGACCAAGGTTAGCAGTCTGAAGGCCGCAGCTGCCCACCACCTGGTGTTCATGATTAACTGATTTGAGGTTAGCTAACTGAAGGTCACTACATTTAACACTGGCTGACTAATTTGTTTTTTTTCAAGATTCTAATAATTTTCCTTCTCCTAGGCTAGAGGGTGGTGTTTAACCCTTTAAGATGGCTGTACTTATGCACTTATGCTAACTTTTGATTTTTCAGATCCTACATTTCCCCACTTCTCTTCAGGGGCATTCCAATCATGGAATGTTTGTGTCTCCTTGTGGGGTGAGTGAATGATATTGTTGCCTCAACATTAGCACATGAACGGCACTCACTCTTTCTCTAACAAAAGTTATCAGCCGATTTAGTATGCAGGGTCCTAAAGTGAGGAGCAACACAAGGATGAGTAAGGGCCCAGCCAGAGTGGATATCAGGGTTGTAAACCACAGGGACCTAGTGAACCAAGATTCAAATAGCCCTTGGCTGGCTTCTCGTTCTTTCTTTCTCTGGTCTAGCCTTTCCCTAAGCTTTGACATTGAATCTCTTACTATTCCGGAATGGTCTGCATAAAAGCAGCATTCTTCTTTTAGAGCTGCACACAGTCCTCCTTCTTTTAGGAACAACAGGTCCAGCCCTCGTCTATTCTGCAAGACTACCTCAGAGAGGGAAGTCAGAGATTCTTCAAGTTTTGTAATGGATTGCTCTATGGTCCTTAGGTCCTCATCAATAGCTGTCCTTAGCCTGTCATAATGTTGGTTCCCTTGAACAATAGCGGCTGCCCCCATTTCCGGCTGTGACACCTATCCCTAACAATACAGCTAAGGTCAGCGAGACTGGCTCTCTTCTATATCTACGCCTAGGTTCAAATTCAGCTACGAATGAGAGATCATCATGATACATCAACCTGGGCACCAGCTGGACCATGATACAGAAATCACAGGAAGAGTTGAAGGCAGAAGTAGAGACACATGGGGTCACTCCAGTGTTACAAGCCCACCATCCCTCGGGAGGAGGGACTAGATACTCACGTTCACCTGAGGAGGTTACAGCTATGGTTTCATTACACAAGGCTTTATGGGAGGGGGGAACTGTACCTAAACATCTTCTTCTTCCAGTTACTTCGGTCAGGGTTAGTTTCCTATGGCTCCCCCAGCTACAGATCTCGTGACGGGTTGTCCTGTTAAAACTGCCCAACAATCCTAATCTTTCATAATAAGGCGGCCCAGAAGAGAAGCACAACTAACAAGATTCAGTAGTTTTAGGATTGGTGGTGTTCAGAACTCGGAAAGCCCCTTTAATGAGGTTAAGGAGGCGTTGCCCGGTGCTAGAAAAGGGGGTTACTGAATCAAGAGTGAGGATGGGGACAGCAGGAGTAATGACAGGGTCTACTGGTTGAATTAGGGTTTGCTTCGGGGCTGGAGTTGGAAGGCGTGGTTGATCTTGTAAAATAATATTCGGTCCTACTGGGATGGCCAGAAGGGTTTCGATTTTAAGTCTGATAGTTAAGAGTCCGCTTGGGTAAGGGCCGACCCAGGCGAAATGGCCTATATCAAGCTGAAAACCCTAAGTTATTCCAGTCACTCAGGACTTTTCATTTTTGGCCTGTTCTTGGTTAAATTGCACGCACACTTGGGGTACCCTGTTGTCAGGGTCTCTGAAAGTGAATTTAACTAAATCTCAATTCTCGACTGCCCACTTCCGAGGCCCATCATTAGAGGTTACACAACTCCAGCTTTTGCAGTAAACACTTTCTAAGCCCCCACAGGTTTTCCAGTTATTTCTTAGATTGCCAGGGCAGGCCCAGAACCCTTGTGCTCGTCCTTGAGCAGTGTTAACGAGTGCCCATTTTTGTAGGGTATGGTAATTGTGTTCCTTCCCTTGCGTAAGCCCAAAAAGCTCCCTGAGGTCAAAGTACAAATCTGGCCACCACGTGTTTAGAGGGGCAGTGTGTGCAGTTTCATTAAGGGTTTTACCAGTCTGTCCATCTGTCAGGATCCATGTCTGCCTATAGGGCTGATGGGGGTTGGGGTTCTGGAGGGTTGGAAGTGGCAGAAACATCAGAATCGCTAGCAACATGGTTCTTTCTATATAGACAGAGTTTAAGGGGGTTATCAGTCCGAGCTACTCGCCAGTCCGGGTCCGGTGGGGGTGCCTTCTTCAGATGTGAAGCATGTATCCAGGAAGAGACACCATCTACTTTCACGGCTGTGGGAGTAGTCAGGAGGACAATAAAAGGTCCCTTCCACCGCGGCTCGAGGTTTCCCGTCCAGTGTCTTCTCACGTAGACAGGGTCTCCCACCTGGAACTGGTGAGGTACTGAGAGGTCCCCTGGCCGATAGACTTCCTTAATGGAGGTCCACACCTCTTTCTGCATGGCTTCCAAGGCTCATAACCTTTCAAGCAGAAACTTATTAGTTGTACATTCGGGGAATATATGAAGATGAGCTGATTGGAGTGGGGCCGGACCCCAAACATTATTTCAAAAGGCATTAGTCCAAAGCGGCCGGGAGTGTTCCTGACCCTAAACAGGGCGAAGGGAAGGAGGACTAACCAATCACATAAGCCAGTCTCTATGGACAATTTAGTCAAGGTCTCTTTTAGAGTTCTGTTCATCCTTTCTACCTGTCCTGAGCTCTGGGGCCTGTATGCACAATGCAATTTCCAATCTGTCCCCAGGATCTTGGCCAATCCCTGACTTACCTGGGCAACAAAGGCAGGTCCATTATCGGAACCGATTACCTTGGGGATTCCGAACCTTGGAAATATTTCTTCAAGTATCCTTTTAGACACTGTCTGAGCTGTCTCAGTTTTGGTGGGGAACGCCTCTGTCCATCTTGAAAATCTGTCTAGGAAAACTAGAAGGTATTTATATCTATACTTAGCAGGCTTAATTTCAGTGAAGTCAACTTCCCAATAGGCTCCTGGGCGATCTCCTCGAAGTCTCTTCCCGGATATTGCTTGATTTTTACTCACGTTCACTAATTGGCAGGGAACACAATTTCTTACAACCTCGTCAGCCAATTTTCCTAATCCAATAACATGATAAGGGGAGTCCCGAACCAGGGTCTTTAGGTTTTTTGCTCCCAGATGTGTCAATTGATGTAATTGCCTTAAGTATTTTTCTGCCTCTCTCTGGGGCAGAACAACTTTCCCTTTTTCAGACTTATATATCTCGTGGGGCGAGGAATTTTTGAACTCTAATTTGTTTATACAAGCAAGATCTTCAGGTGTATACTGGAAGCTTTTAATGTGGGTGGCTTCCGGATACACTTGGAGAGGTAGAATGTTCATTCCCTGAGCCGCTTGCTTTGCGGTTTGGTCCGCCCTCCGGTTTCCTCGAGCTATTGGAGAATCATCTTTCTGATGTCCAGGGCAATGTATTATCGCTACTTCCTTAGGCCTATGGATGGCGTCTAACAAATCTAAAATTTCTTGTTTGTTTTTAACATCTCTCCCGGCAGAAGTTAACAGCCCTCTCTGTCTATAAATAGCCCCGTGTATGTGAGCGGTGGCAAAAGCGTATCGGCTGTCAGTGTAGACGTTAAGTCTCTTACCTTCTGCCATCCTTAGAGCCTGAGTCAGGGCGATGAGTTCTGCTCGCTGTGCAGAAGTGCCCGTTGGGAGTCCGCTGGCCCACACGATCCGGTCATCATCCACTACTGCAGCTCCAGCCATTCTCTTACCATCCATGATGTAACTGCTCCCGTCTGTATACCAAGTCAGGAGTCCCGGTCCTCCTAAGGGCTGATCTTGTAAGTCCCGGCGGGTTCCTGTCTCCTCGGCCAGGATTTCCTGGCAGGTATGAAGCACTTCCTTCCCTGAATCGGGGAGCAGAGTGGCCGGGTTTAGGATGGCAGGGGGGGCAAACTCCACACGATCACGATTCAGGAGTAAGGTTTGGTAGTGAGTCATTCTGGCATTCGACATCCATCTCTCGGGTGGTTGTCGGATTACACTCTCTAACGCATGTGGAGCAACCACAGTGAGTTTTTGTCCCAGTGTCAGTTTGTCAGAATCTTTAACCAAGAGGGCCACGGCCGCCACTACTCTCAAACAGGCAGGCCATCCGCTACTCACTGGGTCCAATTTTTTTGACAAGTAGGCGACAGGTCTCTTCCAAGGTCCCCATTGTTGGGTCAACACTCCTCGAGCCACTCCGCTTCGTTCATCCACAAAAAGGACGAACGGCTTAGTCACATCTGGCAAGGCCAGAGCGGGTGCCGACAGGAGGGCCTTTTTGATATCATCAAAGGCCTGCTGTTGTTCAGGTCCCCAAACAAACGGGGCCGCCCCTTTGGTTAGGGGATACAGAGGGGCGGCTAAGGTGGCATATCCGGGTATCCATAGTCTACAAAACCCTGCCGTCCCCAGAAACTCGTGAACTTGGCGCGAAGTAGTAGGAACCGGGATCTGCGTCACAGTCTGCTTTCGGGCTTCAGTAAGCCACCTTTTCCCCTCTCTCAGGGAATATCCCAAATAAGTCACTTGTTGTTGGCAGATCTGTGCTTTTTTGGCAGATGCCCTATATCCCAATTTAGCAAGTTCAGTCAAAAGGGCTCCAGTGGTCTCTTGGCAAGCTTCCTGAGTAGGGGCTGCTATCAGTAAGTCATTAACATATTGTAACAAAGTTACCTGTGGGTTGGAGGCTCGGTAAAAAGCCAAGTCCTGATGCAAAGCCTCGTCGAAGAGGGTAGGTGAATTCTTGAATCCTTGTGGCAAGCGAGTCCAGGTCAATTGTCCAGTAGTTCCTGTGGAGGGGTCTTTCCATTCAAAAGCAAACAGCGGTTGGCTACTCTGGTGCAGGCGCAAACAAAAGAAGGCGTCTTTTAAATGTAAGACTGTATACCAGGTGTTTTCCGGGGCCAGAGAGCTTAACAGGTTATAAGGGTTCGGCACAGTGGGATGAATGTCCTGTGTCCTCTTATTAACTTCTCTTAAATCTTGCACTGGTCGATAATCTCTTGTTCCCGCTTTCTTTACAGGCAGCAAGGGAGTGTTCTATGGGGATTTACATTTTACTAATATCCCCTGCTCTATGAGCCTCTGGATATGGGGCTTAATTCCATCTCTGGCTTCTTTACTCATTGGATATTGTCTCACAGTCACTGGTAAAGCTGAGGCTTTCAATTCTATGACCACCGGGGGCTGGTTTACGGCAAGCCCCATACCCGCTGTCTCTGCCCAGGCCCCTGGAAACTGGTTGAGCCACCTCCGACTAACTAGGGAGGGTTCCGGTTCCTTAAAAAAGCGGTACTCGTCCTCTAATCTTATGGACAGAATACTTAGGCCCAAAGGTTTTTTTTCTCGATCTGTCACTCAGGCATCTTCAGCCTGAAAGGATATTTGGGCCGCAACTTTGGTCAGGATGTCTCTTCCTAACAGGGGTGTGGGGCATTCTGGTATGACAAGGAATGAGTGGTTTACTTGTCCCACTCTTAAGTCCACTGTTCTTTGGGTAGTCCATGCATATTGTTTCTGGCCCGTGGCCCCGAACACCCAAGACTTTTTGCCAGAAAGAGGGCCTCTAGCTTGGGTCAGTACAGAATGTTGAGCACCGGTATCCACCAGAAACTCAACGGGTTGCCCCTCCAC